GTGAAGGAGAGAGCCACATGGACATCTGAGGGCCCTGGAAGCAAAGGCACTGGGGCCAGAAGGGACATAAGGTTCCTTGTGCTACACCCTGACACAGCATCTAGAAATCCACTCTATAGTCTTAATGGCAAGACCAGATCATCATTACAGGAACAAAGCCTCTCCAGCAAGTCAGCAGAGAACATCTCAGTCCCGATGAGCCATTCTTGCCCTTCTCAGCACCTTTCTGGAAGCCTCCTAACTCAGCACACACCAGCTTCCCAGAGGAATGACATTTCAGCTGGGGTTTACATTCCTAACAGATACCAGTATCCCACCAGGAAAGGCTCTGACCACCTGGAGCCTCAAACACTGTCAGAGCACCCACTGGGTGATACAACCAGTCACTGTCAATTGGACCATTGGACAGATGCTCTGCTCCTTCACCACCAGCATAAATAGGTCCCTTACCTCTGGCAGGCCTACTCTGTGGGACTCCTCTAGCTGCTGCCAAGGTAAAAAGCCCAGCTACATCATGACTTAGGCCTACAGCTTGTCCTCTGATTATGACCAATGTATATACCACAGAACCAATCCTAGACTGTGGCCCTTAGCACCTGGATGCAGCTCCCTTCCGGGGCTATATGTCTCACACCAACCTCATTTTACAGGAAAAGAAACTACAGTTCAATAGAGGAGGTAGAAGTACCACAGGTATGATGGAATCAGGAACATATTCTAGGAATTAGACCCTATCAATCACAGGGGAAACAAGGGAGGTCACTAGCCAGTCCTGGTGGATGAAGGGAAGTCGGAGCTTGCAGGGAAGTCGGAGCTTGCAGGGAAGTCTGGAAGACGGCAGGTGCCAATAGCAGGCTGGGGTGAGAGTTTGTGGAAACTTGTTGCCTCTTTGTGGCTCCCACTGCTTCGAATTTGCAGGAAGTGTCTGGTGTGGATCTGGGCTGGTTGGGCTGGAAATCCAGAAGAAGAGCTGGACATAAAGCCATAAGAGCAAGAAGAAACTAGATCATGCCAGCATCTTTGCCCTTTGGTGCATTTGCTTTGCTGGGATTCTAAAGATGTTAGGATAAACAGTTTATGTGTCTCTGGGCACTTTAAAGATGCCTACCAGAACATCTGGCCTGCCTTGTACCTCACAATCCCTGAAACTTCCACTGCAAGACTAGGGCTGTACTTCCTGGCACCAGCCTACTGGGTGGGGACCCCACACATAGGCTTTTAGGTGAGGCCTGAATGCATGAGGATGGACAGACAGTGTGAGGACTGGAAGTGTAAAGCTGGGTGTGCTGGAGGCTGCTTGGCCTGCTCTGCACAGGTCTCCCCTCACTGCCTCTCCACACAGCAGTCTCCTATGCCCAGGGCCTGTCTCTTACACATTCCCTGTAGCATCATTTACTCCATGACCCCTGCTGTCTCCTACACCATGATCAATCCCAACTCCACTTCAAGCCCCAACTGTCCAAACTAAGACCTTGCATTTCACCCTCCCTGGGGCACATGGCCACTGGGTGTGCAGTACAAAGTAGGGCAATAGCTCAGAAAACCCCTCTGGTGATTGAGTGCTGGGAACATCCAGTCCAATCACTCGACGAGCAAGTGAGACAGCCCTGGCTTGAGTGCCCCACCCCTCAACAGGAGACAACCCTCCCAGCCACTAAGGCTTTAGAACATGACATATCAGACTTTTAGTCCTAGTTCTGATTCCCACTGGCCTAAGTGGTTCACTCAAGATTCTGAGCTTCTGCAACTGTCCACAGAATGCAGGAGGATTGCAAGGATTACAACTTCTGTCTGTGCAGTGCCCAGCACTGCCAATGATACAGAGGAGTACTCAGTGACTTTAGCAATTGAGGAGAGAGCAGGGGCAAGGAGCACCGGACAGAGGCCCAGAGCCAGGCACCTCCAATCTGCCTCTCTGCTCACGACACCTTTCCAAGAGTCCCCTCTCCCTTCTATGCTCAGTACCCACATCTCAGACTCAAAGACCCCACTCTTCCTTATTTGACTTCCCAACCTGGTACAGCAGCCACCTGGGAATGGTATCCCAGGCCTGAACTGAGCTTGCGATCTTAGTTTTGGATCCCAGCACCTCACAGAGGATGATACCAGGCAATTCTCTGAAGACCAGGGACCAGCAGAGGGACACAACAGTTCAGTCCAGTGCAAAAGTAACAAATCCTTGCCAGGCATGGTGGCACACACCTGTAACCCTGGGAGGCTAAGAGGCAAGCCTGAACTACACACTGAGTTCAGGGCCAGCCTAACTACATAGTGAGACCCTGCCTCAAAAAATCCAATCAAGGGCCGGGGATTTAGCTCAGTGGTTCTGCTGCCTGTATTGCAAGCGCAAGGACCTGAATTCGATCCCCAGTACCAAAAAAAAAAATCCAATCAAAATGATCTGAAATAATCCATCTAATAATCTGATTATTATTTGATGTGAAGGACCAGGGCATCCTTCTGATGGCCTGATTGGTAGTGACTGGTTGTATTACCTAGTGGGTACTGTGACAGTGTTTGAGGCTGCAGCTGGTCAGTGCCTTTCCTGATTGCATGCTGGTATCTCATTCAGGAATATAACTCCCACCTGGAAGATAAATTCTCTCCTGCTCAGAGCTGGCCAACAGTTTGCCACATGTGTCCTCCCAGTTAACAGTCCTTGGGCACAGAAGGGGCTGGAATGGTCAGCCCCATACTCTGGCTGATTTCTTAGGTTTTGTGTTTGTTTGATTTGCTTCTCAGTATTGAGGATTGAACCCAAGGGGTACTAAACTACATCCCCACCCCTTATCATTTTAAGATCTCACTAAGTTGCTCAGGCTGGCCTTGACCTTGTGATCCTCTTGTCTCAGCTTCCTGAGTGCTGAGATTACAGATGTTCACCACTGAGCCCAGATCTGGGTTTATTTTTTGAGCAAAGCAGTGCTCTACATATTAAGGTACCTTTGTCAGGATTTGGAGACATAACTATGGCAGTATGAGGCTGAAAGTATGTACATGACAGTCTGAAAGAGCTCTCGGTCTGGGTCTGGAGTATAACAAGTTTGTGTGCCTGTAGCATATAGCAGTGAAAAGCTCATTCCTTCCATTTAATTTTTAGAAAGCTTCCAGAAAGTGGAAGTTGAGTCTTCGTGTCTGAGTCTAGCGATACCACTACTGTCATCTAACCCACAGACCAGCTTCTCCACCTTGATAAATGTTAGTTAGAGCCACCATATTGAATTAGGAGCTGATTATATCTGATTTACCCTGTAATAGGGTTAAGTCCATTTCCTGGGATGTAGCAGAAGGGCCTGACAGTCACCAAGGTGATCCATAATTATCTTTTAAAGTTCCAGCCCAAATAGGTCATGCTGACGAGGCCCCTCAGTTAAGGGGGATAACCCAGCCAAGCTTGGCAGGACATGACAAGAAGCACCATGGCACCTCCCTTTGATCCTTACGCAGGCCAATGTCACCTTTCATGCATGCTTTTGAGGCAGCTCCTTGAAAGAGACAGTTTGCCAAAGGCAAAAAGTAGAACCAAGAGGTTTTATGGCAGGATGGACTGAAAGATCACTAAAACAGAGTCAAATGGATCTGGGTTCAAAACCCAAGTCCTTCACTGTGATCTTGGGCAGCATGTTTCCCTCATCTGTAAAACAATGACTCTAATAGTAGCTCTCCTGCTGTGGTATAGAATGGGAAGGTGTGGTGACATTCACACTGGTGCCCAAGAAGCATGACGCTAAGGCTAAGGAGCTGGGCCAATCTGGGCTCATCTCTGAGATGATACAGGACTTTGGATTTATCATGATGTTACTGCTGGGCCTCATTTGTAACAAGGGGCTCCCGTCTGGGCATGGTCACTATAATGGCAATGCCAATATCTGGCCACTGTCCAAGCTTCCAAACCAATGAGGAGGATGGAGGAACTTGGTAGTTTAGGCAAGATGTGGCTGACTGGGCTCTGAGTCATCACTCACCGACCCATATTGCATCAGCTGCCTCTGGGGGGCCTGGAAGATCCTTCTGCATGACTGTCCACAGATGGGATGGGTGGCACTCTTTTCTGGACCCCATGGGTCTAGAAGGGAACCCTCCAGTCCCCACGTCCCTTCATCCCAGGTAGCAGACAAGTGCTGAGGGCAGGAGTGGCAGTATTATTGGTCTACATCAAGGCTGTGGAGCAAGGCCTTTGCTCATAGATGAAGCAAAGTGGTGGCTAGGTGTGCTGTGGGGCATCAGGCAGAGAGCCAGTGGGAGCTGGATGGAGGCTCCTCCTGCCTTACCCTACCCTCCCATTATCTCCCCCTGGAACCAGAACAGGAGCTGGGTAGTGGGAGAGGACAAAAGTCCCCTCTGGGGAGAGTGAGGTCTCACCCTGAGGCGTGGCCAGGCCTGATTTTGAATCCTGAAGTGATCTCTCCCACCACCGTCATGCAGAGTGACGCTTCTCTGGCTCCAGCATTTTGAGTCTGAGAACTGAAAAGGCACAGGATGAAGTCCTGTCTGAGCAGGACTGAGGATTTGCTCTCTTTGTTCAGAGCCAACAACTACAGACTCAGTGCTTTTAAACGTTTGAATCAACAGAGGGACTGTTTATCAATATTTTTAAAAAGAAATGTAATTAGAGGTTGGCAAGCCCCCAGAGCTCCTGGCCACAGATGTCAAAGGCTTCCTTAACCTAGAGGGGAACAGAATGAAAAGCAACCACACACACCCTCTGCCACACCATGGTGTGCTCTACCACAAATCCCACTTGACAGGTGCTCTCCACTGAGACTCATAAAAGACTCTGTGGCTAATGGACTGGCATTTCGAATACAGCCACGTTTTTTCATTCCTAGGTGGTTTTGCTTTCTAAACTTGGGAATGTGGAGATTCTATTTTAAGAGCATTAATTACTGTCCAATTTTAATGTAACTAATGTGAACGAAAACATGACTTTGAACTGAGGAAAGGAAACAAAAGCATTTTGTGGGATAAGTTTATGTTCACATCCCTCAAGATTGCCTGAGAACATTTATGTGATGCATTTATTTCTGGTCAAGACAAGTACAAAGGCAGCTTTGGGGTGGTTTCTGGAGGAGGCCAAGGCTGGCCACATGTGCCTCAGAGACGCCGGCTCAGGCCGCCTCAGGCCAGGGCCCCTCCTCAGGACTCAAAGAGGTAGTGTCAGGAGGGTAAAAATAGAGTGAAGGATTGAGCCACAACTTTGACACATGGTTTTCTCAGCCCAGGAACTGCCACACAGGGCCCTCCTTTTCCAGCTATTCTAAGTGAAAAAAGAAAAAAAAGAAAAAAAAGTAAGATTATCTGAGAACTAAGTGAAAACAGTGCTACATTTTAGCTGCCTTTCCTGCAATCCTCCCTTTTCCCAGTGCTCTTTTTGGCTCTTCTTTCCTCACCAAGCCAAAATTGGGATGAATTCCAAGCTGCTGTCCTTGACCCCCTCTTCCCTCCACCTGCGGCCCTGAGAATACCTGTAGCTTTGGTGGGGGTCCCCCTTCCCCCATGAGACCCCAAAATCTCAGAGCCAAATTGTGCATCTCTATCTGGAGAGGTGGGTTTGGGGCATAGTCTCCACTTCAGCTGTTGTCCCCCTAGCATTACCTATCTGCATGGGGCCAGGACTATTTGACCCAGGACACAGGGCCCAGCCCTTCCAGAGCCGGCCTCTGGGTCAGGCTGGGAGCAATGGGTGCTGACGGCAGGAACCCCTGCTGTTGGACTCCTCAGAGAAGGAGACTCATGGTGGAGACCTGAATGCAAGGAGCCCAACAAGGTAGAGTTCCAGCCTGAGGAGAGGCCCGCAAGGGGAGAACAAGGCCATGAGAAGAGGAGGGAGGGCTCAAGGCACAAGCAGGCGAGGACAAAATTGGCAAAGAGTGGGCCAGCCATAGTGTCACATACCTGTAATCCCAGCACTTGGGAGGCTGAGGCCAAAGGATTGCCACATAGTCAGTTCAGCCACACAGTCAGTTCAAGGCCAGCATAAACTACATAAAGACCTTGTCTCAAAACCAACAAATAAACAAGACTGGCAAAGCGCAAGTAGGGAGGGGAGAGTGGGTCCAGGTGCATATCTTCCTGGGGACAGTGAGCATGGCTCAGGCTGGGAGAGTGCTCAGGCATGTGTGTGGGAAGCTCATCCTGGCTTGTGTGTGCAGAGTGGATGGAGAGCCAAGGAGGATAGACCCATTGAGAGACATGGGCCTGGGCTAGGGTGACCCCTCCCATCTCTCCTCTCACAGCCACACAGCCTGGCTTCTGCTGGGTTTGCACCTCTGAACCCCTCCCCCCAGCTCTCTGAACAGACAGGCTGCAGCGGATGGACCTGTTCATACCCAGGCCTTAAGGACAGATCCCTCTGGGACAGACTAGGGTGTCAGGGGAGAGGGCAGGGTGGTGGTTGGCCGGCCTTCCCACACCCTGAGGTGTTCTTTCTTTGCCTGGGGGGGTGCCTCTTCCTGTGCATTAGGGAGCCCTGTGTTGTCAAAAGCCTAACCAGGATGGGGCAGCAGATAAGACTTACTCACAGAGAAGTAGGGAGCGGTGCCACTCTAGCTGTGTGACTCTGGACAAACCACTTACGCCCCCATTCTATCCCAAGCCTGTTTTCCTCTCTGACAGTGGGGACAGCACCATCTAACCTCCCCAGGCTTTAAACAAAATAAAGTGCACGCACAATGCCTGGTACACAGTGGGTGACCCCCAAATATTGATAATGATGATGATCTCAGCAAGATATAGCTGCAAATACCACCCACGTGTGACTTCACACGAGTCTTTTAACCTTCAAGGATCCAGTTTTTACGTTTCTCCTTTTATGACAAGTAGCCTAATTGATTCACTAGTTCAAACAACTGGGAGCAGTTTCTCACCGCTCCTCTTGTTGCCCTAGTATGTTCAGAGGGAACTGAACCTTTTGATGATTGACATGCCAGGCTGTCTTGAAAGTATTTTATTAATTCAGCTAAGGTTGCCCAAGTGCTTCTCAGGGACCAGGCCCTGTACTTGGTGCTCAGGGTAGGCTGCAGTACAAAGCCCACGGGGTGTGTGACTGAGAAGAGGGGTAACAGCTTTATGACTGAGCCATGGAGGATGGGTGCCAGGTGGGGCACCCAGGAAGGGTGTTCCTGATGCAGGGGACAATATGTGCAAAGGCACAGAGGCGTGAAGAGCATGGCATGTTCTAGGGAAGATGAAAGCTAGAGGCTGGGGCAGCTGGGGAAAGAGGGAGGGGCAGAAATGAGGCTGCAAGGGCAGAGCCTGATCAGCAAGGGCCTCAAACCAGACCCAGGGGAGGAGTTTATCCTGTGGGTACAGGGAGACCTGGGGACACTGGACAAGGACAGAAGGCACTCAGAACTGATCATGGTGGGAATCATGGGCTTGGACATGGAGCAAGACAGCAGGGGCCAAACTCAGGCTGGGCGGTTGCACACCCTTGGAAAAGAAGTGAGGAGGCCTGGAGGGAAGGGATGAGCAGGGCAAAGTGGGGAGCAGGGACTGACAGTGGATTCCAGAGCTGGGAGCAATTGGCTTTGACTCCGGGTGCAGGAGGGGCCAAGGACAGTCAGCTGCTGAGGAGGGAGGGCAACCAGCCCAGGCTGTGTGAAGCCGAGGGCTCCCTGATTTCAGCAGCAGCTTCTCTGTGTCTCTCTTTAATCACCACTGTAGGAAATGAAATTCTCTCTCTCTCTCTCTCTCTCTCTCTCTCTGTCTTTCTCTGTCTCTCTCCCTTTCTTTCTTCCTCCCCCATCCCCACCCCAGGGTCCTAGGAATTGAATCCATATGCTAGGCAAACACTTACCACTGAGCTACATCCCCAGCCCTAGGGAACAAAACTTTTAATTCTTTAATATACTTCCTCATTTTCAACTTTAAAAAATGAGTAAATAGGACATTTCTCTTTCCTTCTTAAATAGAAAATGCAGATACTTGCATGTGTATAAATCTAGATTTTTATTTCCCTTGTATTATAAAAGGAAGATGGTTTAGGCACAAGATGAGGTTCAGAGATCCTCTGGGCCCCATCTGCCCCTTAGAGCCACTCACCTGAGAGAGCCCTGGCTGGAGCAGGGGGTCCTGAGAGCTCACCTGAGTCACCTGCCCTGACCCGGCTCATCAGGAAAGGGCTTGGGCTGGACCGTGCATGACAGCTCTTCACCTGTGGGACTGAGATGTTCCCCGAGAGCTGGAGGACATGTTCTAAACCCCAAGACAATGACATTTTGATACGGTTTTAAAAATCCATTTCACTTTGCAAGACAAACAGCTAATAAAATAGATTCTTTTTTGGTAACCACCCATACAGCAATCAATCTGTCACTCGAAAAACTGGCTTCAGAGAAGTGTGAAATGAGGCCACTCTGGAGTTCTGTGGGAACAGGGAGCTGGAGAAACCTTCCTCTCGACCAGATTAACTTGTCCCCCGAAACAAGGAGAATCTCTGATTCAGAGCACAGGAAATATACAGCTAATTAGTTGCTCAATCAATTCTGACTTTCGGAGGATTGGGGTGGGGGTGACTGTTACATTGTTTACATGCAGCCAGCCCACACCATCACCTGTATATCTCACCTGTTTCTTTTCAATTCCACCCCCATAAGAAAAAAATAAGCATTTCCCACTCAAGGGACTGGCGGAGTGAGTCACATCCCTTACACCATTCAAGCAGAAACTTAAAACAGAGAGTCATTTGAGCACTACCAACAAAAATCAATAGGACAAGCCTCAGTCATAAGACACAGCCCCTCCATGCCTGCCTGTGGCCACCATCATACTTAAGAGGCTCTCACCTCAGCTGTCCTCTTATCTCTAGTTGTGCCTGGCTGCCTCTGGTTTTTTTCTACCTTTATTTTCCCTTAGCAGTAATTTCCTTTCTGTTTAAAAAACAAAAAAAGGTATCTTATTGTACATAGAATAAAGTTTAGATCATTTTAATTCTTTTTTGGAACAAGATAGAATAAATGAATTAGTTAATCAGAAACTGCCCAAAGAGGTTCTAACTGAAGAATTCTGAATTCTGCACTAAACTTGGAAAGGAAATAGCAGGAAATTAAAAAACATTGGTTTACTTGATTTTTAAATGATAGATTCCGAAGAGTCTCAGTAACAAATAGGATGAACTGCATAATAGCTACTTTGAAAGAAATAAAATGTCCCCAAAAAGTTACAAAAAAAAACGGATGAGAAAAAAAGTGGCTGTAATTCCATGATGAAAATGAAAAAAGAATTGAGAAATACCTGGAAGGAGTAATAGGCAGAGCTGAAACAATAGAACAAAGAAATCAGTAATGTTGTGAGACATCAAACCAAAAATGTAGACAAAGAAAATAGAGGGGCAAATAACTGATTTGGAAAATGGGAAATGATATCATAGCCCTAAAATAAGCATAGGAGAGATGAATGGATGAGGCATACAATGAGAGAAGCATTGGGAAAGAAATAATACAAGACAACTTTCCAGCAATGAAAAAACAGCTCAACCTAGAGCTGAAGAACCCATGTGGTACCTTTCTAGATTAACTATGAGGAAAAGAAATGAGCATTTGCTAGTTAAAAAAAAATTTTTTGCTACTTAAAATTTTGAACTATAAATTATCCAACAAGCTGAAGTAAAGAGATATATGCTCTTCTGAAACTGGATAAAAATGACAAGCAAACTGACATTATAGATATTAAAGACAAAATGAGCCTCAAGAAAAAATGTACAATTCTAACCACACATGTGACTCTAACCTGGTGTCAATTATGTTCCTAAACAAGATGTGGTCTGTCCAAGTAGGGAAAAACAAAGTCAAACACAAATTGGGTACAGTTGTATACAACTATGCTTTTTAAAAGCAAAGATGGATGTCTGAAGTTTTACAAACATGCATGGAGGCACACGCCTGCAATCCCAGCACTTGGGAAGCTGAGGCAAGAGGCTGGCCTTGAACTCATGGTGAGACCCTATCTCAAAAAAATGAATTTTTACAAAAATATAAAAGACAAAAACTGTCTTACATAACAAGAATTAGAATTAGAATGGGCCTACTGAAAAAGAAGAATTGGGGCCAGGGAGTTAGCTCAGTGGTTCCGGTGTCTGCCTCACAAGTGCAAGGTCCCGAGTTCGATTCCCGGTACCAAAAAAAAAAAAAACTCAAAATGCATTTTCTCTCAGTCCCAGAGGCTAGAAGTCCGAGGTCAGGGTTACGGCTGATTCAGTGTCTGGTGAGGACTCTCTTCCTGGCATCTCAATAATTCCTCAAGCAGCCTGCTCTCTGGTGTCTCTTCTTAGAGGGACACTAATCTTATCAGATCAAAGTCCCACCATCATGACTGCATTTAACCTTAATTACTTCCTTAGAAGCCCTGTCTCCAAATAGTCACATTAGGATTTTAACATATGAATTTGGGGTGAGGAACACAAACATTCAGTTTCTCCCTCAAACATCCCCCAGATATATGACCTCTCTCTTTTCACTGTTTTGGTCTTCCTGTCTCTGCTTCAGCAGCAGCCCTGGTCCTCCTGCTTGTCTCCCTTCCTGTCCACCCGATGCTCCTTGTAGAATTATCTTTCCACAATGGACAACTGATCATTGAACAGCTACTGAGCGTTTTCACCAACACCATCTCATCTCCTTCTCCCAACAACCCCATCAAGTGGTAGAAACCCATGGAAGGCTCAGAGAGGTTAAGTGAAACCCATTGTTGCCAAAGCTGGATTTGAACCCTGAGTGGGCTCATAAGTACCTTGTCTTTTAATGCGTGTCTCCTGCCATTTCAGTCCAAACACCTAAAAGGATGCCAGGCCCATAACAAACCATGAGAGTTAATGAGTGGTGGATTAACCCAGGCCCCAGTAATTGTAACCTCAGCTTTTCCTTCATCAGTACTTAAGGCAAAGTTAGTTTCCTTTCTGATTCCAACTACAGAGATCCAGGCCCTCTATTTTGCTCTCTTTGGGGGAAATGAGTTAGCATTTTGTTAATCAAAGTGAAAATGTACATTTTTTTCTGTTAAAGACAGCTTCTTACATGTGGCTTCAATTATTTATTAGCAAGTTTACATGTACTTTTAAGTGTAGACATGGAAAATGAACTATTTCTTTATCTTAATTCCCCTCTAGCTGGCATCCTAACCTCTGTTCACTTGAAAGAGGGAAAGGACACAAGTTGCTGGCCCATTCACAGGATGATTAAGTTGAACCAACCAAGTGAAACACTCCCCTCCCCACAGCACTCCTTGGAGACCTTCCAGGATTGAGGGGGATGCTCCTCTCACCAGCCATCTCCACCAGTTACTCTGGGGTACTTCTGCACACCCTACACCCAAGGTCTCAGCCAAAGGCACAGGCACCTGGGGGTGCCCATCCAGCCCTTCTTCTCCCCTTGCCTTAGTGTTAGGGGCCTAAGGGTGAGTCCTTCCCCAAGTCAGCAGTTGCTCCCCCACTAACCCCAAGCTTCAGTTGTACCATGAAGCAGGGAAAACTTAGATTTACATGAAATCTGGCCCTGACATTTAGCTAGCAGCCTGTGCAACTTTGGGTATGTCACCAACCTCTCTGGGCTTGAGTCCCACTGAAGGTACCTGGCTTCAGTATGCAAACATTATTTCTGTATCTATGAAGTCAGTATTATTCTCACATTAAGAAAGTAGAAACTGAGGTTTGGAGAGGTACCCTGCCTGAGCTACTACTGGTTTTGAGGAGCAGGTCTATTCAGCTCTACAGCTGGGTCTACCCAGGAGAGGAACAGGCGTTCAGCAACCTGACCGCACACTCAGTATGCCCAGAGACATGGTCTCACTTGGCGCTGCACGTCCATTGGGGTCACTCAAGGTGCCTGTCTGCGGTCTAGGGGCCTGTGGGCTTGAGGCCTCCTGGTGGACAGGCAGCAGGCAAGCAGGAGCTGGTGAGGACCACTGCTGCTGGCTCTGCAGACACTGCTTTGCTGTACTGGATAAACGGCTCACTTTCCGTGCCCACCCCCCTCCCAGGTCCGCCCTTCCCTATTCCCACTGCCTATTTAAGTCAGAGGCCCCAACTCAGCCCAAGCACAGGCAGCTTCCGGAGCCAGGAGAGCAGCGCAGCAAGCCCAGCTCACCCGGGGAAGAAAGGTCCTTCTGTTTCACCATTTCCAACTGGTGCGTTCTGAATGATGCTGCTGAGCAGAATTGTGGCAGGAGCTGGTTCTGCTCGCCTGGGAGTATACTGAGATGTGTAGATGGCAGAGGGAAGCTCTGATCGGATTTTTCCCATTTCTAATCCCTGACTTGATGTGATCTTATTTTCAAAGAGGGAAAAAGGCTATCATCTGTGAAAGGACAAGGGAATGGATATTTCAAAACAAGGTCTGGCTCAGAATATCAATGATCTGACACCATTGTCTCTTCCTTTGAGAGAAGAGAAGGGCCTATAATGTCAAAGTAGGGATAATTCCATTTCCCTTCAGGAACCCCTCCCTAATTAGTCAGTTCCTGTCATTTAATTCTGTTTTGAAAATATAAGCAGGAGATTTCTCCCAAGAGTTTTAAAGAGGGTGGGGGAGCTTGCAGCTGGTGGGTGAGTTGGGGAATTGTCAGAGGCCAAAGACTGCTTGTTAAACTTCTGAGAGATGAGGAGAGAACTCCTGCAGTTGGAGAGAGGCCATGGAGACTGGGAGGTGTCTTGGGGGGAGCCTGCCTCCTATGTCCACTTCCAGAGACTTGCTAGCCCCAGGTCTAGGGTCATTACAGCCCAGAAGAGAGTGAGAGACAGACATGCATGGGGGTCATCTGCCTACTGAGGAAGAGGCCAGCTTCCTAGGGGCATGGGTAGGGCCTCCCCTGGGAGCCAAGACAGCAGGCCACCCTCTGTCTTCCCAGCAGGCTGGACTCCCCGGGCTGTAGGGGGAAAGGATGCCTGCCAGGTACTGAGCTCAGAGGAAAGAAATTAGGGTGTCCCCATGCAAACTGGGCCTACCAGGTCACCTTGAGTATAGATAGCATGGACCTATGGGTTTTGGCTTCCTTCTCACTGTGATCTGAGAACACCAAGTACCGATGCTCATTGGATGCTGACCATGGTCATCCAAGAGCCCGTGTTGAACCCCTGTGTTCTGGGGTGGGGGGTTGGGCTTCAGAGGTTAAGTAACTCTCCCAGGACTGGCAGCTGTCATATGGCTGGCCTGGACCAGGTCACAGGAGCCCAGACCTTCTCTATGTGGATTCTTAATCAGAAGAGAGCAAACTGTTGCTGTGAGAAGAGACACGCTGCCAGTGCTCCTGTAGTACCTCTGGACAGAGAATGGATTGCGACTCAGAGTTCGGATTCTTTTGAAACAGTTTGGATAATTTGCAAAATAACTGTATAGAAAGGAAGAGTATGGTCGGGAGGAGGCCTGGGAATGCGGTAGCCTTACTGGGTATATGAGGTGGTAAGGGACTTTGAGCCGAGACGCGGAATTAGCTGGAGAAGGGAAGGGCACACACAGAGCTGCAAAAGCTGAACCGGACGAGGGCGGAACTTGAAAGTGAGATTGATTTTATCCTGGATTCGGCCGAGTTGGAGGCGGGGCCTGGGACCGGAGGGCGGGACTAAAGAGCCGGGAGGGTCGTCCGTCGTCACCCCCCTCGCCGGAGGACTCCATTGGGCCAGGGATTAGGAGGCGGGGCCAGCGCCTGAGGACGAGCCTTAAGAGCTACAGGGGCGGGTGGGGCGGGGCCTACAGCAGGGACTGGGGCCCAAGTGTGCAGGGCAACGTCTCTAGGGTGTAGAGCCAGGATCCCTCAGTTGGCTCGAGGAGTGCAGGGAGCCTGTGGCATCGCGTCCGAAGACCTCCGCTCACACGTGTGCCGTCCCAACCGTCACCTCCAAAGCCCCTCTAAGAGGTTCCTCTAAGGGGTTCCCTCTGACCCTCCCCCCACCAGCCTGCCTACCCCCACCTTATCGCTCCCAGATCCCTCTCATTCTTCCTGGAGACGAGCCTCCTCCCAGAGCCCACTCCAGTCTCGGTAGATATGGTCCTTTTCCCCCAGCCGGGGTTCAGCTGCCACCCCCACTCCCGTATCTCTGTGAGCAGAGACTACACAAAACTCGGGGAACGCTCAGGGTGTGCTGGCTTCGCCTATCAGATCAAACCCAGTCCAGCGGCTGGAGCTCTGAATTCTCCTCCCTGTGCCCCCTCAATTTGCACACCGCTGGCAGCCTGGGTCCAACTGTCCGCGTGGAGGGCTCATCCGTCCCACCCGCGGAGCCGGCCCCACGTGTCCCCCCCCCCCCCCCCCCCCCCCTTCACACAAGCCCGCCCCACCTCCTCCGGCTGCACTTGGTCTTCGGGGACAGCCAGGCCCACACCCTGGCCCTGGCGGCCACAGCAGAGGGTGTGGCAGTGCGTCCCGGGCAGGTGCGGCTCCTCCGGCTTTGTATCTGGCCCACCTGTTCTGGCTGCCCAGCGGCCTTAGGTTGAGTTCCGGTCACTCTGAGCTGCTCATCTCCTTTCAGGTCCTGACGGCCTCGACCTCCCCTCTTCAGAAGGAAGGGCAACAAGGTCTGAGTGGCTCCTCCTCAGGTAAGACTGAGGCTTCTGGAACAAGGGGAGAGGGTTCGGGGAGAGGCAGAGGAGGTGCTGCCCTAGGCCTCCCCTCAAGGGCTACTTGTTAATGTTTGTGTACAAGAAGATGCTGTGTGAAATCGGTTAAGAAAAGGTTCTGCTGCTTGGTTATAAAGTGAAATCCACACCTGTGGGGTAAGTGCTCTGGGCCAGGCCTGCCCTCCTATGGCCACAGTGCCAGCACAAGGGGGTGTGTCCGAACCCTCACATCTGCAGAAAGAGTGCGTACTCCTGCAGTACGCACGAGAAGCACTGAGTGAAGGGACACAAGTTGAGTGAAGGGATACAAAGTGAGTATCCATACCCCCCCAAAAAATTATTTTTAATGCTAAAACCCAGAGCTGGTAAGGATATTGTGAAACAGCCATTCTCAAACAATCACTAAATGGACAAACCTCAGTGGAAATCACTTTGGGAATGTGTATCAGAAGCTTTCGAATTTACTTAATTTCTTGAATCCATCTCAAGGAAATCATTCAAATGACTGGACATTTTTGGGAATAAAAGCAGAAACTAAGAACACAGTGACTTCTTGACAGGAATCTTAGACCAGAAGCCAGAACACCAAGACCATTATAAGGACCCATTCCTGCCCAAACATTAACAAACTGAATGTTTTCAGGCCTGCCAGGAAAACTGCCAGACTGGGTGCAGGGAGCTCTGGGGGTCCCAGGTGGTGGTAACCAGATGGAAGAACCAAAGAAGAGACAGATGAGGCCAGGCCTTCCCTGCAGGAAGGGAGGAGGATCGCTAGGGTATGCTAAGTGCTCAGTAGGCGAGAAATGCAGCCTCAGGGGACCAAAATAGAGGAGCAGGGGTCTTGTGAGAATTGAGGGGGGAAGGGCAAGGAAACAGTGTAAGGACCACACTACCAAAACTTGTCTTGGAGGCAAGGGATGGTGGTAGATATTGCTCAGTTGTGTATTTGTGCATGTTATTTATGTTCAGCCTTAGTGAGAAAGGTAGAGAGGAAAGGGAAATTGGAGTCAGGTGGCTTGGCAGCACTTTTCAGGTATTATTATTTACTTCTCTGAGCTTCAGTTTCCTCAGTCTATAGTGGGGCCAACTGTACCTGTTCAGGTTGGTGTGCAACATCTACGCCATGCTTCCGAAAGTTGCATCCATTATTTCTGCCTCTCTTTTGCTTATTTCCAATCTCCCTTCTGTCTTTGGCACAAATGGATTCATGGCTGTGCCCCTGCCCCAGCAGAGAAAGTGGGAGGGAGGGAGGGATAAGTTTGAGGTCCTGAACAGCCAAAGTTGGACTCAGTTAAGCTGGGTTGCAGAAGCCATTCAGGCTGTGGCTCAAGGTGAACAGGGGGCAGAGTTGTCACTTGTCAATCAGGTAGCAGATATCCACAGGGCTAGGGGCAGGAAATGGAATAAAATACTGGGGCTTTGGGAGGCAGAACAGGACACAAGCTTCAGAGAAAACAGCACCCTCATTCCCCAGGAAGATAGAGGTCAGAGTCGAGGAGTGGGGGAGTACCTCCCTTCCAATTCCAGGATGCCATGTGTGCAAGGTCCATGGTCCTCAGAAACAACTCACAGAGCAACGCGTGTGTCTCTGCTCCTTTTGCTCAGAGGGATGGATTTGGTTGACATAGCTCAAGTCTCCTCTCAGTCATGTTTCCAGCTTGATAAATCTGAAAATGCCAGATCTGTGTGACAGGAGCTGGTCTTTGCTGTGTGTAGACTGTAAACTTATGCAGTACATGCACAGAAACAACCAACCACCAAGATAGAAACAGTCTGTTTGAGGCAGGCCAAAGGGCCTAGGCCATGGGTGGGGACTGGCCAGAGTTTGATGAAGAGGCCATCACTGTGGCCCCTGAGTCCCAAGCTTCGCTGAGGCGACAACCTTTGCACAGAAGAGGGGTCAGCGGGGGCCGGGCATTTAGCTCAGGCCTGCCTTGCAAGGGCAAGGTCCTAAGTTCAATCCCTGGTACCAAAAAAATAAGAAGAGGGGTCAGTGGGAGCCACTAAAGGCCTTCCTGGGGAACAATGTGGTCTGCTGTGCCAGGTATAGCATCGGAGGGTGGCCAGGTGAAGACTGTTGCAGTTTCCAGGGGAGGGGAAAGGCTTGAACTGGGGCATGGCCATGGGAGTAGATCCAAAGGGCTAGAAAGGCAGAACTGTGGGCTGGAGAAGGGAGGCAGGGTAAGGAGGAGGTCTAGACCCCAGGACATACTTGGGAAAAAGCTGGTGGAAGAGGAATAATGAACTTCGAGGGGAAGATGTATATACATGGGGTTAGAGGTCAGAAGGTAACTGTACTGGCTGTCACCTTGGAACTGATGTCTCTGAAGGATCAACTGAAAGAGGAAAGATAAGACAGGGGACTGTCCAGCCCCTAGAGGGTGACCGGGGAGGAGGGGACACCAAAGGGCTCAGAGAAGCAGCAGACTCCAGAGCAAGAGGGGAACAAGAAGGATGGTGACCCAGAATCAGGGGCAGGGTGGAGAAACTGAGAAATTAAGCAACTTTAACCCTCCTGTCAGATATATTTATTTCTCTTTGCTTTCTGTCTTTTTGTTGTGGGTGGCAGCAGCGGTGGTAGTACTGGGGATTGAACCCCAAGCCACCTATATGCTAGGTGAGCACTCTCTCTACCACTGAGCTATACTCCTAACTCTGGGCGTATTTTTAAAAACTAATCTGGTTGGAACCGCGCGAACTGTTTTCTCATTGGTGCAGACCTCTGGATCTTCTTTCGCAAACTTACCAAAAACCCCCGTGAAACACCCTGCCCACTTTCTCCCTGGAAGTGGGGGGTGCAGCCTCAATCTGGGTCTCCAGCCAGAAGCCCAGAGTGCAGGACACAGACACAGCCAGCATGCTCTGAGTGGGCAGGATTACTGGAGCCCCTCAGGCTTCATAGTGTGAGGGTTGCTGTCTACAGTCTAAGTTAAGGAAACCAGTAGGGAAAACCGAGTGAGACCCTCAGGTCCCCCTCTTGGGCCCATGTTCTGCAGCTGTTCCTCGTCTGCATCTCCTCTTTGCCTGCAGGCAGGGATCTGGTGGTCATAGTGGTCATCAAGGGTGTGACCCTGGCAGGCAGGACTTCCTGAGTGGCTCCCCCTGCCTTGCGCCCACTCTCGGCAAAGTCTGCCACCAGAAGCTCCTAGGCCCCACGCTGTCACCTCTGACTTGGGCGTCCCCAGCCTCCCTGTTTAACACTGCTGCTCTCTCCACCTCTGCCCCGAACAGCCCTGTGTGCTTGCATCAGCCAGCACAACCAAGTGGTGTCTGACCACGCTGGCCTCTTGGCTCTGACTCTCAAGTGTCGAGCATAGGCTGTTGGCTGTGTCTCTATCTGCGTCCACCTGGGAGAAGCCGCAGCCTGACCCTTGCCCATCTCCTGCAGGCCAGGCCCTGCTCTCAGCACCAACCACCCTTCCCAGAGCTTTCTCATGGATTTGCTTCTCCATCTCCATTTATTTACTTTCAACCTGTATCACCAAAGCAGCTAGCTCTCTCTGGGCAGAAAGTTTCCACTAAAAATTAAAAGATTAAGCTCAGCTGCTCTGATGTCTCATGCTCCTGGCACATAGCAGAAATGGATTTTTCAGTCCCTACACTGAGGGGTGAGGAGTGAGCCTTCCACCTGCCCTAGATTCCAGGCAGAGGGACATCGTTATGGTTTTGGCATAAGTCAGTGGGCTGATTCACAGCAAACCAGAAGCCTTACTGCCCTGGCCAGGATGGGATGGGTTGTGTTGTACTTATAATCAAAGGTCTTCCCGATCCCATGGCATGTGGGTGAGCGGGGGCCCTGCTCCATGTCTTCTTGCCTTGGGCCCCCATTGACAGAAGAGCCACCATCTGAAACACCACAAGTCAGTGTGGCAGAGGGAGAACTTTTAAGTAGTCATTTCTGAGGGGATAGGTATTGCTGTCTATGCTAGCAGCCTGTGTACACAAAGCTGCCACAATCACAGCCAAGAGTTTCTGTTTCTCCTTCCAGAAGTACAGGATTCAACAGCCAAGGGCAGCTGCAGATAGAGTTCCCACCACCAAAGGGAAGGCATAAGTTGGAACCCAGAGTTCCAAAAGACCCTTCTTGGTACTGAGGAAGGTTTGGTGGCAGAACTTAGAAGGAACTTGAGGGGGCTACAGACTCTTATAATCCCCTCCCCACTGATCTTTGATGTGAACAAATAACCAGCTTACAATCTTCAGCAAATAAAGCTCTGGGTCCCAGCTCCATGGGCTGTCTGCAAAGCCCTCCCTGGTGCACTGGACAGGCTGTCAGGCTGTCACAGCTCAGAGGACTCCTGAGGCTCTGGCCTGAGCTGGGCATCTCCTCTCGAAGGAGGCAGGACCCTCTCTGGCTGCTTCACTTGGAGCCAAGGGCTCCTTTGGTGCCAGGTACAGAGGGGGTCCCTGAGTATAGCAGTGTCCTGGGGTCAAAAGGTCTCTGAAAGGGCCCAGCCAAGGGCCTCCGGCCTCAGCAGAAATTAAGACCCAGACTCAGTCCACAAAGCCCAGCCCTCAGGGCCAGCTGCCCAGGGCACCAGGGAAAGCTGGTGACATGCTGACACCTGATTTTATTTACTCATTCTCACTCAATTGCTTTTTACTCCCTGCATAAATTCTCCTGTGGGACTCAGTTTGTTAAATGTTCTTTGCATAGAAAAAATCAGGCTGAATGTGAAATGATTCCCTTCAGAAGAATGTCAGCAAAACTGTTCCATTTTAGGAAAGTTTGTTGTCTTCATCTGTGTTCTCTTGGTGCCTTGAAATGCCCACACACAGCTCAGTCAGCCAAGCCATCCCAGGAGGAAATGCTGTACTTGGAACACAGACAAACATGGGGTCTGCTAAATCCCAGCATTTGTGTGGCCTTGTGTTGAGGGTTCTCCTCCCACAGAAAGCGTGTGCCCTGGTGTTGCTAAGCAAAGTGTGTTCTAAGCCTTGTTCACCTCGGGAAGTATTGATATCAGCCGTCATGTCAC